TGCCAGAGGGAGGGAAGTCGTGTCGCTCTGCTTGCTCCCTCCTGTCTAAGATTTCTGCGGGGTGGAGGGTTCGGGATGTCACTGGTTTGCTCCTTCCCTGTCTCCTTCAGGCAGCCCTGGGCCCTGGTGGGGATCCTAGGAGGGGATCAGCTCTCCACAGCAGAAGATAAGCGGGAGTATCACGGGAATGGAACAACGGGGTTAGCCATAGCCAAAAGAGATTTCCTCACCTACGACGGCACCCGTTTCACTGTTACTGCTTTCAGTGGGTGGATAAAAGGTTCGGTCTTCCCTGACAATTGCTTGTCTTCTGTTGCTTTGCTTTTTTCGGCTGCTGTAAATCTGAACAATGAAATGATAATCATATCATAATCTTTGGCTCACTTGGACAGTGACCAAACTAACAGCAGTTCTCTCTCAAAGTAACATTTTATCTGCCCACAAAGAGATGGCACTGGCATAGTTAATGGCTAGAGCACTTCTATCATGCACAGAGTTATCTAGACAAAAATTAAATTGGTATGCTCTTCAGTTAATTGCATGATTCTGTCATGTGCAACTGTAAAAATAATTGATTGCTTCATTTTTCAGGGGTGCCTCATAATGGATTTAAAGTGGAAGTGACCAAAGGTATAATTATTCATCTGGTGGACGAGGTTACAAGTTGGCTACCTGGTGACCGTATAGTCATTGCCAGTACAGACTATTCTATGCATCAGGCTGAAGAGTTTAATCTCCTTCCTTGTCCTGAATGTAAAAGTAATCAAGTGAAAATTGATGGTACGAAATATTTTTATCAAACTAATTGTTTGTAGTAACTATTTACATTGTCTCATCTTTTACATTCTAATTACCTTTTTAACACATGGGCACATATGAGAGCTGAAGGGCCCAATATTATACTGGGACTTGGAAGTTTGTCCAGAGGCAGCAGTCCTCTGTAGAAATCTGAGGAAGTGTTGATCTCTTCTGGGATCAGGTACTGGGCACATCCCCAGAATTGGTGATTTCTTAGGTGAAAGGTGTACGCTTACTCAGAACAATACAATAACAAATACACTGTGCTCACTCTGAATTAAAAGGTTTGTGATTTCCACAGGTAACCCACTTTATCTTCACATGGGAGAAGTCATAGATGGTGTCGACATGCGGGCAGAGGTTGGTCTTCTCACTAGAAACATACTTATTCAAGGAGAAATGGAAGACGCCTGTTATGGGCAAAACCAATGCCAGTTCTTCTCTTTTGATACATTTGGAGGACACATAAAAGTGAGTAACTTTTAATGCATGTGCTTGTAGGTGGTTTCAGATGGTTCCTTTCCTTTGTAAACAAGTGAAAGGATTAATGCACGAAACTAACATTGTGTCTGGGGGAAAAGACATATCTGTCCATGAAGAAGGGGGAAGTTTGTTGGCCTGTTTTGCAATGGACTTGCTGTAAGTTTGTTCCATTTTCTTCACTGTGTCTGCAAAAACATACCCTTCTATGGGTTAGAGGGGATCCTTTAGCAGCATTGCTGTCAGTAGAGTTAATGTGAAGTTAGTTCACAGGGTACCACTGAAGAAATTGTGCTTTCTGCAGAGCACACCCGCTCCCTCAGAGAAGTGCTGGATCTCACCCTGTTATGCTTCATGTTCTAGGTGGAGGTGCAGTCTTGCTGTGGTGGGGGCTTTATATAAAACTGCTCCTCCACCAGTCGGTGGAAATCAGGGAGCTAAAAATCACTTAAGAGTAAAAGCTGCCAGGAAATAGAGCCTGGTAGCAAATGCTCCCCCTTTCTGTAGTTGGCAGGAGTACCGTGTCTGTCACTGCTATTGCTAAACACTGCACATGCTGTTTGGCAGCTGCTCCTTGGCAGCCCTGAGCCCGTAGGTGTGCAGCTGCTGGCACAGGGCTCTGCAGGTCCTGAGCTGATGTGAGTGGAAATAGGGAGCTGACACTTCCTCCTGGGATCAAACCCCATTTTACTCTGTAAACATATTGCCTGATGAGAGAAAAAAAGCCCAAACCCATTTTTCTTTTTGTGTGTGTTTCTATTGTAATGCTTTACTTGGATCTACATTTGTCTCAACAGATCCTAAGGAATTTTAGCTCTGTTCACATGTCAGGAGTGGAATTAAAAAACATGGGGCAGCAAATCCTAGGCAGTTACCCTGTGCATTTTCACTTGGCTGAGGATGTGGATGAGAGAGGAGGATATGGACGCCCAACGTACCTCGATAACCTGGCTATCCACCACTGCTTCTCTAGGTGTGTTGCCATACATGGAACTCATGGCCTTCTGGTAGGAGACATATTTTATTAGTACCAAGTTCAGCTCTTTGCTTAGCCAGTGCTAAACAGCACATACCACTTGTGATGTAAAGAGAAATCAGAACATTGAAATAAGGCATCTTTTACCCAAGAAATATACCAACTTCTCAACTTTATTTGCCTGGTGTTGGAGTTAGGACTGTTCCTCTGGTAGTGCAGTTCTTTGAAATGAATGTGAGGTTCTTAGCATAACCTAATTAATATTATCAAAGGTGTGATCAGATGTAGTGAAATCTTTGCCTTGGTAATTCCGGACAATTTGTGATAACAGGAACTTTCATTTAAAATTAAAGCAATGGACTTTAAATGGAGTTGGCTGAAGCAATGGACCTTTAATTTTCAATGGTGATAAAAAAAGACAGGGGTTGTTCAAGTCAGGGCAATGTGAAATATATCCAAAAATGTTCACATGACAAAGGGAATGAAATATGAGCAGGACAGACCCAAACGACCGCTTCAGTGCCAGAAAAGACCTCAGGAACTTGGCTTTGACCTAGATCCTCACAAGGGCATTGTAAAGAGGAACATAAAAAAAAAAGAAGGCTTTAACAACAAAAGAATCTCAGCTGGAAAAGAGAGATTCCTGCTCCAGTCCCAACATGTCCAGTTGCTGTGTGCTCTGCAAGACCCTGTGTGGTGTTTTGGTATCTGTGGGCATTTCCTCTTCACCTGGTGTGTGCTCACCCAGAGACATTCTCTGAGTTATCCATGACCTCCTGTGTTTTTCCTGACAACTTTTTCTCAGTCCTGGAGGTAAAGCTGTGTAAGACACAAAATACATGTGCTCTGTGTGTGAAAAAGTCCCCCTGAAAGGATGCATTAATGAAACTGGGATGCTGTACCATTTGGGAGCACTGTTCATGTATTCTAAACTTGATTTATATTGTCCATATCACTCACAATTATTAATTGCCTTCTAATATTCATCATTTACTCTGTCTGCAGAGCCTGATTCTGTGTAGAGAACCCTTAGGTTGTCAGAAGACTTGTCTAGTACATGTGGATGTAGTTTATTTCTTTTTCCTCCTGTGGGTATTAAACCTCTGGAATTGAAGTAACCTGCCTAGAATGAAAAATTAAGTTTTATGCTAATAATGGTCTTTTAAAGAACAGCATATGGTCTTGCTCTTTATCAGAAAGGAAGTTATCAAAGGTTCATCTGGATATGTGGGACGAAATAGTTGTGAAATCAAGACTCAGAGTGTGAGATTGAGCCCTACTCATGTGATTGCTGTGGGCTTTGAGTCAGTGAATCAGTGAATAGATTTTAAATATGTAATTTAAAATATGTGATTCTGTGGAAGAAATGTGGTTTTGATATATAGTCATTAAGAAAAAGAGTAATTAAAATGTAATAAAAAACCTTGCTTTAAAATGAATTAAAATATTTACAGTTCCTGAGAAGAGTATGTGTATCAGAGCAAGGCAGTCAAATAACATAGAGGGCAGTTAAATAACATCTGATGCTTCAGCATCAGATTATGAAACTCCAGCCCTTGAGGCAGAGTAAACCAGAGAGGTGGTTTTCCCCATTCCTGTCCTGAGGGTTTAGAAGACGTAATTTTTAGAGGGACATTGGTTGGTACTCTGCTGTGCAGGGGTTATGCAGAGCTGTCCGCAAGGCCCTTCCCCATCTGCTGCTCCACGTGCCAGGCTGGTGCTGCTTTGCAAGCCAGCAGCAGCTTGGGTTCCTCACGGAAGCTGGAAACAGGCTGTGACCTGCCTCTGTGGCCAGACCCACGTCAGGCATGTGCAGGCTGCTGCAGTCTTTCATGTCTGATGTTGCAGTGCATAAAGGTCACTTATATTGTGTTGCTGAACTATATATAATTCAGTGTTTAGAGGCACCTTAATCATCTGCTGTTGGACACAGCAGCAAGGCTGCAGCCTGTGCTGTGGACAGTGTTTCATGCTGGCACACACAGTAATGTGCCACTGTGACAGTGCTGCAGGTGGGTGGCTTTCCAGGCTTGTATTTTCTTTTGGTGGTATGCTGGAATTGACTGGGGTTTTGTTCTGATATGTGGACCCTTATCTTCCAGTGCAAATGGAAGTGATCTTTTAATCACGTTATTTCTGGTCAGGAGAGTGATCACTACAGTGTCCTGTGTGTAACTTTTCAGACCTGCCATGCAATTCTGAAGCTGGGACTAATCATATTAATTAAAGCTAAAATCTGGTTTTGGATACAAGTCTGGTTTTTCATGCAGCCATTTGAAGCACAGATTAGTCAAACTGCAGCTAAATGCAGAAGAATGAAACTCTACAATTGAAATGTTGTTTAAAACAATGAGTGGTTTGTTGCTAGTGTTCTTTCCAAAATTAATCCTCCGCGACCTCCTTAGATCAGCTTCTGCCCATCATTTGGGAGAGCAGAAGTAGCCAGGCTTATTGATCTTAGCAGGCTGGCAGAGACAGTTGCACTTTTGTCTAAATCCATTTCCTAGATCTGTATTTCCCAGACTTGGCTGGCAGGGAGGGACATGTTCAGTGTTGCTGTACTTAGGTTCTCTGTCACTCTCCCTGCAGCTCATTCTGAGGAGCTGTACCTGTGTGCAGGGTCAGTGGATTTCCAACACTCCATCAGTAGAGCTGGGTATCTGTTTGTGTTGTGGTGTATTTTTAACTCTCTTTTGAACACCTCATTGAGGCAGAAACAAGAGCAGCAGATGAAAAGTCAGAGGGGTGACTGCCAGGAAAACAATGAAATCCAGCAGAGATATACCTATGGGGACAATACTGTTTGTGACTCCAGATGTTATGTACAGTTGCAGCCCATTAAAGTGAAATTACAGGATATGATTCTATGAAATGGATTTATTTCAAGTATCCCTCTGTATACAAAAATAACCAAGTAGGTTAATATTAGTTAATCTTGCAGTCTAACATAGACATAACTGACGTCAACAGGAATTTTGTGTGCCTGGAGAGGGAATATATATATGCTGACAGGGATCATTTGAGTACAAAGTTAAGATTTCAGTAAGATTTAGTAACAAATAGCTGGTATTTTAACTAGCCTGATCTAGTATTTAAATTTAAAGGAAGGATTTCTGAATTTATCTTCATAAGACTGTACATCAAAGGAGGATTGTGCTAAGTCCTCTTGGTTGAATTAGGGTTTAATGCAATATCCCTGAGCATGTCAATTAATATTAAATAGACTGAAATGGTAAAATATCATCTCTGCCCAAGATGATCATTACAGGAATGAAGTGGCCAGGCACCTTCTGAGAATGGAGGAGAAAAACAGAAATCTCATTAATATAATTTACTTCACATTTAAAGAATTTCTTATTTTATTTTGGAAGTGTTGCAGTCATGAAAATTTCTGGATTAACCATGCCAATTTGTTGGTTTATCATGCGAGACACACTTATATTTACGTATCTTTATTCATCTAGTCACTCCATGACACTGACTCAAATATTCTCTTTTAGAGCTGAGGGCGGTTTTAAATCAAGTACTTTGAATTTTTCCTTTAATTATGCATGTGATCTTCTTCAGAGTAATTTTAATAGCAGTTTTGCTTTATCAGATCAGTCCACAGCTATGCACACTGCATGTACTTCGAGTCAGCTCAGGGACTGATGGAGGCACCTCTCGCTGTGCAGAGGGGTATCAAACCTGCTCCATCAGTGTTTTGGGAATTTATTGCTAAGCAAAGCACATCAGCTCCTACTGTAGCCTGTATCCTTTTTCCCAGGTAAAAGACACCATTGGCTATGACACCCTGGGGCACTGTTTCTTCCTGGAAGATGGGACGGAGCAGAGGAACACCTTTTATCACAACCTGGGCCTCCTCACGAGGCCGGGGACGATCCTGCCTTCGGATCGCAGTGAGCTCATGTGCCTCGTCATCCGCAGCCACGTCCATGGGAATTACACTCCTGTGCCAAGCACTGACTGCATGTAAGTGCTCCAGGAGCTGTAACCAGGTTTTGCACTTACATTGTGCTTTACAACTGGGTCTCGAAGACTGGTGTGGTGAAACTTCAAAGGTGCTATTTAATATGAAATGAGAAATTGTAGCTTTTTCTACCATTTTTCATTTTAAAACTTAACCATGTTTTGCTTGCAAAGATATCTACTAACACCTGCATGAATCCTAGGCAAGGAATATTTGCTGGTGGTTATTCCTGTCACTGTTTTTAGAGAATCATGGAATCACAGAATGGCTTGGGTCGGAAGGGACCTTAAAGATCATTTAGGTCCAACCCCCTTGCCATGGGCAGGGACACCTTCCACTAGACCAGGTTGCTCAAAGTCCCATTCAGCCTGGCCTTGGACACTTCCAGGAATGGGGCATCCACAACTTCTCTGGGAAACCTGTGCCAGGGCCTCACCAACCTCACAGTGAAGAATGTCTTCCTAATATCTAATCTAACCCTGCCCTCTTTCAGCTTAAGGCCATTTCCCCTTGTCATATCACTCCAAGCCCTTGTCAAAGTCCCTCTCCAGCTCTCTTGTACCACCTTACAGGTACTGAAAGGTACTCTAAGGTCTCCCTGGAGCCTTCTGTTCTCCAGGCTGAATAACCCCCAACTCTCTCAGCCTGTCTCCATAGGAGAGGTGCTTCAGGTCTCTAAATCATAAATATGTCAGAGCACTTTGCTTGTTTCTGAACACCTTTCAATTCTTTCTGAGTACGATGTTAAAGGCTCCATGAAATCTTTCTGATAAATGCAAGTTTCTCCAGCCCTAGTATAGACTGGCAACACAGTTTTGCAGAGGAAATTTGTATTTTCATATTTTCTGTAAAAGAATGCAGCGGACAAACTCTACTTAACTGAATTAATTGCAGTTATTGTTGCTGAAATGCTAAGGTTTCTTGTGTGGTTATTACAGAGTTATTTTACATCTCTTCAGTGGATTTTTGATTATTTAACAGTTAAGGTGGATAAAAAATGTTTGAAAAATCTCTACTTAGAATGATCAAATTAATTGGTACAGTCATGAGAGGAGGTTTACAGTGTTTTTACATGTGGTCTTTATTACTGACAAAGATGTTATCCAATGCAGTAAGACAACAGATGACAATGTTTTCATAGCTATATTGGCTTCTGTTTGTACCACTACTGATCTTCCCTCTGAAGAAAAACTCCTTACTCCTTACAGACATAAAAAATATATCTCCTTAATCTTCTGCTTAATGGGTTATTTGTGACTTGCAAGGAGAGTTGTTTTGTTTTATTTTGTTTTCCACAAAAGCTTCAGAAATTCATAGAGAATCCCCTAACTCCTGCCATTGCCCCTGAAGTTTCAAAACACAGACCAAAAGTTTCACTTTCAGACATCTTCCAAAGCTGTTTAAATTAAAAAAAAAAAATAATCTGGGTTTCCTTCAGCTGCATTGAACAGAGCATGGATTTTGTGTTAATGCTCTCATATAATTTACAATAGGTTCAGCATGTGGTTCCATAAATGACCATGTCTGACATTACTAGATGGTTTCTTTTCCTTTAAGAGTGTCATTAAAAGGTTGTGGGGAGTTTTAAAGTCAATAGGAGAGTTGTGGCTCAAGTCCAGTGCAGTGCTATGAAAATGTATCCCTTCCTGTTTGGTAACTGCTTAGGATCATTTTGATTTTGGTTTTTCAGGGCTGTCAGCACGTTCTGGATTGCAAATCCAAACAACAATTTAATAGAGAATGCAGCAGCTGGTGCTCAGGTAACCATTTAATGGCAGAGCTATGCTTCACCTCCAGTTCCCATATATTCCACTTTTATTGGTGTCATTAGTGTGAGGGCAATAACTGTAACATTTAGATATGTACTTTTGCAACCTTTGTCTCTGTTAAGAACTTCAGTTATTTTAAGATACTGTAAGTATTTGCCTACACTCCTCCACTGACTTCTCTCACAACTGTAACTGGAAATGGTATGTGATGTCTCTTAGCAAATGTTGATTTTTATTAGTAGTTAATAGTTAAATGCTCAATCAAATTTTATATTTGTGTGTATAAATATACACTCTCCTTGTATTATCCTTTATGTTTACCCAAACCGTGTTTGTGTTTAATATGCCTGTACAGATTGGCTGTTTTCTAATACACCACATGAATTTCACCCACAATAAATGCATTTTTTAAATCCATGTGTGTGCTCCCCAGGGACCCACTGTGCATGCCAAAAGATAAACTGGGAGGTGTAAGAGTCATGGGCTTGTGTGTCTCCCCAAGGATCCAAGTTTGGCAGGCTCAGGTTAGGAATCTGGCCAGCACAGTGTGAAATCCTAAATTCCCCAGATAACCTGTATCATTAATTGCAAGGTCCCATTTCTCAGACCTCCCTTTGTCTTCTAGGATGTCGGGATATGGTACATCTTCCACCGGGTTCCCACTGGACAGTCTGAGGGGCGATATCCAGAGGGACAGGCTGAACATACCCCCTTGGGAGTATTTTACAACAACAGAGTCCACTCCAATTTCAAGGCATGTGGATGATTTTTATGTTTCTATCAATATAATAGTATGGCATGGGGCTGACCGTGTGTGCTTCTCTGAAATCAGATGATTGTGGGTGTCTTACATTTTGATAAAATTCTTTTTAACACTATATCAAGACACAATCAACTTTTGGGGGTGATGGTCTTTTTAATTATTAAAGAGGGAGCTGAGCAGAACGAAGGTCTCATTCCAGGCACTTCAGTTGCATGGCTGCATTAGAGGGGATGTGCTCAGGCCATAGGTACACCTACTGCTAAATGAGATTTAAGGAAAGACAGGCAGCACACTGAGCACTGCTGTTGGCTACAATGGTGCCAGGATATAGGGGGATGAGCAAAAGTCCTTTGTGCCAGGGCCTGCTCATCATCTCTGGAAAATGAGACCAAAAATTCAAGGGTATTTCCAAGAAAAGCACTTTCCTCTAATATACTGTTTACATGAAAACATAACCTGTAAGTTATAAAATGCATTTTTAACTCCTTTCTCAGGATTCTATATTGAAATCAGTGGTGTTCTGTGTGACTTGTATATTTTACATCTTGGTCTAGGGCAGTTGCTGCTCTTGCCCAAAGCCTGTAAGTTGGCTACAGCAGCTCATGTTCTCTTTTGACTGTCAGGGGACTTGTCACTTGTTATTTGAAGCCTTAATTCTTAACAACACTCTTTTTCCAAAAAGTTATCAAGAGCTTGGCAGAGCCCCTTATTGCTTTCTGCGAGGGAGAGAGAGAGTGGGAGTTCAGAGCCTTGCTTTAGGTCAGAAGACAGCCCAAGATGCTGATGCATAACATATGGCAGGGCAGGCTCTGTCCTGACTTCAGCGTGCTACATCCTGTGCTAATGTCATGCTGAGCAGTGCCAAGTGACACCGAAAGGGAAGAGAAAGCCCAGGCTGCAGGCGCTCCCTGTGCCTGCACGCACTGGCTGCCCACATTCATTGATAAAAATCTGGGATCTCCGGTCTCTGTTGAGCGATTTGTTAAAGTAACTGGAGTCATGTGCATTTTCAGGCTGGTTTGTTTATTGGAAAAGGAGTAAAGACGACAAGAGCCAACGCTGAAGATCCCAGAGAGTATCTCACTGTCGATAATGCCAGGTAAGCACATGCTGTATGGCTGAGTATTTTGGATGGTTGTATTGCTTCTTGGCTTCTGCATTGCATTTAGCAGATCATTAATGCCTCGTTATGGCTGGAACGTCTGAGAAAAGCACACAAGCTATCTCTCATGTGCAGAGGAAAATACTCCACAGATATGCACTGAATTGTTTGTGTTATTGCTGACCAAAAAGGACACACATGCACTTGGGGTTATGAGGACTAAGCAGTGAAGCATGTGAAAGAGGATTTAGATCTCATTAGTCCATTACTGAGTTTGTAAACTCTAACATTAATTACTAATTACTTAGAAGAACTTACATCTGAGACGTGATGTAAGAGACTGCTGAGGTTGGTCTAGGATTAATGAAGAAAATAAGTAGCCTCAAAGGTTTTTGTCAACTGCTTTGAAACCCCTGAGTTTCCTTCACAGGGTGGAAGGAGGTAAATTAAGGCAGTTTTCTCACTCGCTGCAGTCCTATGGGTGTATGTGAGGAGGTTGTGACAGAAATCAGCTGCTGCTCCTGGTCAAGCCTTGTTTTTTTCTCTCCTCCATTATGCCCTATCTATGCCACGTAGGATGTCCCCATAAGGCTGAAAGGAAAGGATGAGTATGTGTCCCTTGTGAGACTTCCCTGCCAGGATCACTCCCTTGGGCACTGAGGAGACATGTGCCTCAGTACATCAGCTGGAAGAAATGGGAGGTGAAGGTAGACTCAGATAAAGCAACAGTGATTTTTTTTTCCAATTTGTCCAAATCTACCATTAACAGTCAGTATGGCGAGAAACGGCCTGTGGGTAATTGAGATGGACCCAGTTCCCAGGGTGAATCCTTTTTTCTTTTGACAGCTTCTCTTTCAGCAGACAGAGAAGCATATGGAGGTCTGGTCTGTACAGGCAAGGAGAGCAGCTCCAATTACTCTGTTATCTTTGCTGAATGAGATTTTTGAACGTGCCTAATTGATTTTCTAGCACCAGCACAGGGATTCTCAATGGCCCTTGTAAGGACATCTACAAAAGGACCCAAGTGACTTAAGAAAAATGTTTTCTATGCCTCTAAATCACGTTGAATCAAACTAAGGAGTAGCTGTGGGCCAATTGAAGTCTAGTGAGAAATCACCTGCTCATTTCACTGGGGCCAGAATTTAATCCTTATTAATGTTTCTTGTTTTCTGCTTTGTACCAAAGCACAGAAATGAAATCAGGCTAATGACTCTGATCCAGACCATATCACCTCTTTAGATCCACCATGCCAATATTTGGAAGCCAAACAAGGTCTACTGGGCACAACTGCCTCTGTCTGGGGTCAATTCCTGTGTCTCCTGTGCTGTATTAACTAAACTTCTTGCTTCAGGTTTCGCCCACATCAAGATGCTGATCCTGAGAAACCACGAGTTCCTGCTGTGATTGATCACCTTATTGCTTTCAAAAATAATGACCATGGTGCCTGGGCCAGGGGTGGTGACATTATTTTCCGCAACTCAGGGTAAGTTACTGTAATGACCTGTTCTATCATTCCCCTCACAGCAGACATAAATAGGTCTGTAGGCCAAATTCACTGCAGACATTCCTCATCATTTACACTATTGTGTTTCTTCTGTCCCAGGTTTTCAGACAATGGAATTGGACTCACTCTGGCAAGGTAATTTCCTAAAATAGACTTTCTTCCCATTATTTTTCCTCAGCGTAACATGCTCAAGAATAGAAGCTGAGACACTCCCCTGGTAATTAGTATTAGACAGGAGAAAAGCTCACATTTCCCTCTCAGACCACATCAAGTTGTCCCTGGGCAGCCATTAATACAAGGGGCAATTTATTCTTTCTCTTTGTCTCAGCATATCTGGGGAATACATCATAATGGCTGGATATTTCCTCCTGAATGGGAGGTCCTGAACGGGAGGTCCCGATGCTGAAGCACGAAGCTACCTTGGCACTAACTTGCTGGTTTCTAAACATACTTCAAGGCAGCTTCTTATAGCAGTGCATGCACCTTCTTCCAAAATAAAGAAAAACTCCTTCTGTGTCTGTGGTATAATTAAAAGTGTTAATTAATCAGCAGTGCTGTGCTGCATGGTTACATGGTGTTTCTCTGCTTGCAGTGATGGGACTTTCCCGACAGATGAAGGCTCCAGCCTGGAGGTTACACGCTCAATTTTTGTTGGAGAAAGCAGCAACTTTGGCTCCCAGGGAGGCCAAAACAGCTACTGGGGAAAAGGGGCAAATGGAGAATACAGAACACTGCCCAGAAACAAGTGAGTTATTCTTCTGCCATTTCTTCCTGGCGTGAGTATAAGCTAGAAGAAAAGCCTTAGGAATTAATGTCACTACTGATGAGTAATTTATACCAGGTGTTTAAATTACTGTACAGGCCAGAAATAATAAGCATCCAAATAAACTCACTCTTTAGACCAACAACTCGAGAGCATTCTTGAGTTAATGTGTTTGATTTAGTTTTCTCCTTAGTTTATTAGTCACTGGAGAATGGATTAGACAATCTGAGATATACCATTGGCTTTTGTGTAGTGCTTCAGTAGCGCGGCGTTGAGGTGATGGTGCAGCTCCCATACACCATGACACCCTCCCTCTTGCAAGTGTAGCTGGGAAAACACGGCTGGTTTGACAAAGGAGAAATCATTTTTATAGCGTCTTCTTTCTTTTTTGACAGCTGTATGTTATTTTCCATTTTCAGCAGCACAGCCTCCTCTCTAGCAACTACAGTGCCTACCCCTATCCTCACAGCAAGGTGTGCTTCTCCAAGCCTAGATTCTACCTTAATGTTTGGTTTTGGTAAAGCTTACCAATTATTAAACCTTCCACAAGGTATATAAAATTAAGTAATAGGCAGTACTCATTAGATATGCCATGCACACAACCCTGACTATACATGTCTCGACCATAAGTGATAACAGGAATGGGATCTCTGTGGACAGTAAGAATAATCAGATCTATCCTCAGTTATTATTGGTGATTTTATTGAAATTGAAAAAAACCCTCTTTTGCAGTTCAGACAAGCTCTAATCACATTTTTAAGCAACGTGCTCTTGGAAAGGGGTACGACAGAACATCTGATATCTGTCCTTCTGCACTTGCTTCCAAGGAGACACTTGCCTCCAGGGAGTCTGACTGCTATCATTTTCCAGTCATGCTCATGTTTTCCTGAGAAATCTGCCTGCCCTGGAACAAGGAACCTGATGGCAATGCTGACATACAGCCCTTTGGGTCTTCATCATGGTGATGAACTCCTGGGTGGCTGGGGGCAAGGACTTTGAGCTGCTTCACCCCAGCCTGCAAGCCTTAGGCAAGCTTATGAGTCATGTTTTTGGCTTTTGAGCCTCATCCTGTACAGGATCTTCAGCAGAGTTTCATCTTTCCTGTGTGAGGAGTCTTCAGATACCAGTTTTGGGAAAGAAAAGGTGGTTTAGCTGCTTGTTAATATCCTTCTATGCTGTCAGAAGACTCGGAGTTTTCCTAAACTTTTAACACAGGACTGTGTTGGTATTTAAATCTCCCAGGACATTCCCTATTCGTGGATTCCAGATTTATGATGGGCCTGTCAGGATGGCAAGATGCACTTTCAAGAAGTTCACCCCAACTGTTGACAGACACTCAAGTGCCATTGGATTCTTCATGAAAAACTCCTGGCAGATCAGCCCCCAGAACAATGTGTCGCAGATCCTGATGGAGAAAAGTGTAAGTAAGAGAAACAGAAATGTGTTCTGTTAGATGTGCAGGTTTTTGAAGTTTTTAGAAGTGATGAGAGATCTATCCCACAGCAGGATTTCCAAGCCGTGGTGCTTGTTACATTGGTACATGCCAACAATTTATTTTGCAACACTTTTTTTTTTCTTTTTAAATTAATGAAGGTTATTTAATAGGCAAGTAAAATATGATGATACCTTATGCCTGGGCAGACATACATAAAATAATTGCATTGGAGAAAGGTTTTACCCTGTAACCAGAAGACCCAGAACACAATTCTTAGCTGGTGTAGCACTGCCAGCTGCTGAGGACCTGGTGAGGACCTGGCCTCAGAGGCTGAGAGGGTCACACATGAGATGTCAGGAGCTGGTGAGCTGCAATACAGTTCTTCTACAGAAATAGCAAATGCACTTAGAAGCAAAGCCATGACCCAGTTTCTGGGATCAGCTGTGAAATTCCTGTTGAGCACAACAGGGACTTGCTTTGAGCTGTGACAGCAGAATGAAGCTCTGTATCTCTGCCTTGGCAGGAGCTGTAGGATGCTGAGCAATTCCAATCCTTGTCCTGGATTCCTGCAGGGATCATGACCCTGGACACTTGGCTTGGGAAATGACGGATTCCACCTGGCTGGCTCCCAGGGGTCGTGACCTCTCCTTAGATTTTTTTCAGACAAGGTCCATACTTGTTATGATGTCCATGAACTGTAGTAACTTTGGCTTGAGGTTTGGCTTTATCTTGAGGAAAATTTCCACTGCTCTGAGATTGACCAATATCACCCCCTCTGACAAGCAGACAGTTTGTGTCCCCTCCCTGGTACACTTCAGACCAAGAACCAGAGGGTATTTCATGAGAGGATGACGTTGACTGCAGTCACTTGACTGCTCCCCTAAAGAAAACACAGTTAGTGTATTTTGGTAAGGAGATCTTAGTTACCTTAGATGCTTTATGGAGCTCTGGAATAAGGGCTAATTTGCTGTACCTTCTTCATGTCCTCCCTTGGGGAAATGGTTATGAGATGGTCATGGGGAACATGAATGAGAAAATCAACCTGAGACTGGGGAGGGGAACCTAGAGAAAAAAAGTCTGATCAGTGGAGTAGAAGAGAGTGGAAAATTTCCTCCAGTAATGGCTGTAGGACTCTGTCCACCAGAATGGTTTCAGATGGTTGATATCTATGAACATTACACCTTGAATGGCTGAAAATGCAGCTCTTTAATACAGTCACACCATTTGAGGTCAATGAGCCTGTCAAATATCCAGCATTTTTTTGTCTGAGAGGCAGTTTAGTACTGCAAAGTCTTTAAGATACAAGGTTTTCAAAGCAAAAATGGCCTGAAGACATCCTAAAGTCTTCTGTAAAGCAAATTAAAGTAGTGGAGTGTAAACCTATTACAAAAAAAACCTAAACAAAACCAAACCCTAATGACACTATCCCAAAAATTATTTATTGTGTGTACATTTCCAAAAAATATCCATTTTTAAATTTGGTATTTTACCAACTTAAAAAACATCTATATTTGTAAGCACCTGCATCCCACCAATTTTCACTTTGATTCTGTTTTATCTGGATTCAACCCAGATGTGCTACATCTGATTTCAGACTTGAAGGGCCACAGCCAGTTTATTGTTGTTCATTGCTATATGGGTTAATATATCTTCGACTTGTTAAGATAGAACCTGTAGACAATTTTAATTAATTTTCCATCTCCAGGGTTCATTTTATTACTTTTTAAAGGGTGGCTAAGTAGTAATTCCCTAAAGGACATCATTTTACCACAGTTTTTTAAGAAGAAATTAAACATTACTGCAAGTTTTATAGTGATGACAAAACTATTAGTCATCTGAAGGAATAATTGTATAATTAATCAGACTAATCAGAAGATTGGTTAGAAAACAAAATAATAAAGCCAGTCAGGTCTTGTTTAAATCCAACATAAAAATAACAGTCAAGCAGAACAGAAGACCTAAACATTACAATGCACAAAAAGTATTTCTAGTTGCCTTTCCTTTGACAAAGCTAAATCTGTGCATTTATCATGAACAACACCACTGCTAGGCTTGTTTGTTTGTTTGTTTTAAAAAGAGTGCTTTAAAAAAGTTATTTCAAAGCAGTGGAAAAAGTAGCTGGTTTTAACCCAGTTGAGATCATGACTGATGGTTGTGGTCTCCTGTAGATCTGTCAGTCAGCAGGAGCTGGAGAGCTCGAGGAAGATGGCACAGCCCAGAACAGAGACATGCCCAGACAGAACACAAGATCTCTTTTTATTCACAAAAAAGCAACTCATTTATCCCCCATCCATTTGGGGCACAGGTCCTGTAGAGTGAGGTGAGGAGTAAGAGGGTGCAGATGACCTTTTGGGCTCCCATGAACAAGACCACCTTCAGCAGGTGCAGGAGACTCACGAACTCTCCCAAACTCTCACGAGCTCTTTTTACCTCCGCTGCTAAAAGTCCCTCTGGTTATTTTGTCCCTGCAGCCAGGAGCTCAGGGTGGATTCAAGCCTATTCTACTCCTACCTGTGCCAGCACTACGGCATCTCGGAAACTATTTGTGCCAAAGGAACCCCAGCAGTCTGTGCTGGAGGGGGTTGTGGTCCCCAGAAGAGCCCACAGGGACCAGTGCTGACTTCTGGTTATGGAATAGCGACTCCCATGGGATTGCAGTCCTGCCTGGCCAAGAGATGGGCGCTTCCTAATGTTGACTTTACTATGTTCAGCCTGAGTTGTCTTAGTGCTGAGTTTCTGTGTTAAAGCAAACAGTTCAGGATGGGAAAAAGAAAAGCAGGCACTGAGTTAAAGTCTGTTATCTCCTAAAAATGAGGGCAGAAAAAAAATTATCCCAACCCTACAGAGACGCCTGACCAAAGGGAACTTGGCAGGGTGAGGGTTTGCATCACTCCAGCAGAGCAAAAGCCATGGGGGCAGAGTCCTTGGGTGGTAAAGCAGAGGAAGAGTCACACTGGATGAAAATGGTTTTCTTAAAATGATAACAGCAATACAGTGGTATGGTATGTCTTTTATTGGCAGTTTGTGCCAACACTTGAATTTTAGAAAAAGTTGCAAGTTTTTACAAATGCTTTCCAGTACATTATTATTTTTTAATTTAGAGAGTGCAGTCGTCAGGTCTACCCTGCAGGTGTGTTAAATGCCTGCCTTTGGACAGGCTGAGTAAGCATATTCCTAAGAGATTACATACTCACATAAACATCATCTGTCAGGTCTCCCTGTCAGGCTTCAGACAGGTAATTCAAGTAACCTTTATACCATAGCACTCTGAGGCAATCCACACTTAGTGAAAATTAGGTGTCTGAATAGCAGTATGGTATCTATACATGACCTGTCTCTGCACCCTCTTCTAGCTCATTCCTAACTCCATGTGAACATACCTGAGGAGCTGAGTTTTTGTTCCTGTGTGTGCACTTAGAAAAAAATATACAGTGCCATAGCTGTAATTACAGACTCAGTTACACCCCTGTCCCACAGTGTACCAAACTAAGGTAACCTTGAGGCTTATATAGGAAGTGCCACTGCTCATTAACATTTCCATTTAATTTCTGACTTTCAGACTTCTTAGAGGAGAATGTTAGAGATCAGAAATAGCATTAGCACCAAAACTGTCTGCTGCTGGATGGAAACACTGAGAGTGTTGATCAAATGTAAGCTGTACTGGCTGTGCCTTCCTTTGGTTTGAAGTGCAGCTGACTTTGTTCTCCTCCCCAGTGAAGTGCCTGTTTTCATATTCAACTCCAGAACTGCACTGTCACAAAGTATTTATAAGAGACCTTTGAGCTGCAGCAGTGTTTACATTTTTTAAAATCTCCTCTTTTATAAATTACAACAAGAGAAAAAAACCAACTTTTGGGATCCTCCTACTTTGCCAAGTACCCTTTTGGGAAAAACTTCCTGCAGTGCAGTAAGAAAACGTTCTAACAAACTCAAAAACACACATTAAATTTCCATGTGTTTGAACCTCCTTTAAAGGAGACTCTTTCAGGTGTTTATTTATGAGATTCATACTTAGACAAGAAGGTGGCAGGAAAACAGTTCTAGGCTTCAATTTAATTTTAAAGGAATAAAGACTTTTATTCTGCAAGCAGTTGTTGCTGCAGTGGTCATTCTTTTTAAGGCAATGGGCATCCCATCTAACTCAGAATCACAATAACCCTCCTATTCTCCTAAGCCCTTCTGTTTATTATTGTTAAAATAAAGCCTTTAAAGCCTTTAGTAAACTTGCAGCCTAATCCTGCTGACCCTAATTCTTACTCATGTGCACAGTCCAATTAAAATTAGTTGGGCTAAATGGAACAAATTACAGTCCTTTGGGTCGGCGTGATCCAGTCGCTATTTATGCTGTTTGCTTTCATGCACACTGCTGCCGGATTCATTTGGAATGCTTGACCTGGAGTAATTATTTTCTTGATTACTTCAGAACTTAATCTTCACAGACAGTAATAATTTTATCTGCGGACGTTAAAATATTCCATGGTTGGGTTTTTTTGGTTTGTTTGTTTTTTGTTTTTTTTTTTTTTTTTTTTTGCTGAACATCTGCAGTTTCCTTGTTTTGCTGGATTTTCATATCAGGGCAGATATTTTTACTTAGCTACTGAAAAATCTTGAGAACAGAGATAATGAGGATAATGCTGCTTCCTGTTATTTCTATTTCCTAAAAAAAAAAAAATTCTTCATGGGATATATTAGAATGTGCACAAGAGCCAATTCTGAGAATTGCTGTCACTTTTAAAAGTTTTATAGGGCTTTAGGAGGAACAATTAGAAAAAAATGACACTCACAGAACCACTAAGAACAGACATGGAAAATATATGAGAAAATTCCCCAAATATCCAGTAATTTTTGTTTCTTTATCAAAAGCTGTGATATTCTTCAGTAAATTTCCTAATCATCCAGTACTTCCTCCACTTTCAGGCATCCTCTTCCTTTTGCCACCACTCAATCTATTGCTGTATGACTTTAAGCAACACATGGTTGTGGGGGTGTCCAGTTTTTGTGAAAACATCTCCTAGGATTAAGGAACAAGAGGGAAAACCAGCATGGCTGGCATTTTTTTTCTAAATAGAAAAGGCAAAACAAAACTCTTTGCTCAGACAACAGAGCTCTCCAGTTCCAGCTGTACCACTGTTTTGGCTGTTAGAATGCTGCAAGCGCAAGCCCTTACTTTGAGCTGACCAGTGATTTTTCATCTTATTTTCTCCTCCAGGTGGGACTGAAGGTGTTTTTTGGCAGACCAGGCCAGTGGTTTGGAAACAATGACAATGACGGTGACAAAATGTCAATCTTCCATGACCTGGATGGCTCAGTGACTGGGTACCCAGACACCTTTGTGGGCAGAGCAGACAACTACCTGCTGCGTCATCCCGGGTGTCTCACTGTCCCTCGCTGGAATGGGGTGATGTGCACAGGGAAATTCGCACAGGTAACGGGGGGCAGTGCTGGCAGCACCACGGGGTGTGCAGGGTGGGCATCCTCAGTCTGTGAGGGGTGATGGAGTGAAGTGTCCTCAAATAGTCTGTGAGATAAGAGCTGAATGATAAATTTGGCATAATCTTACTCCTTTCAGTGTCCTCTGCCTAATTCCAAATAGTCAGTAAAACTCCTGTTGTGCAGTTGCCTGCTATAAGGAACCACATCTCCTCCCATTGCCCACAAGAGGCTGCAAGGTGAAATTGTGTTGGAGGAAAGTTTGGTGTTTTCTAGTTCCAGGCATTTGTCCACTCTGTTGTGGGATTCTAGTGGACAGTTCTGGTGAATCAAGTTTCAGTAATGGAAGATGTTACTTCTCTGGTACACCCTACTTGTGTTCAGGATGGTGAAACAGGTGGTTGAGATGAAAACTCCCACTTATTTCCCATCCAGAAATCACTGACTGAAGGATGGTCAGCCTTAGGTCAGGATGATCTTAAACCTTAACAGCAGTGAATATCCAGGGTATGTGTGTCACCTTAAGCTAAAAGAAATTGTATGTATTTGCTTTAGTTGCACAGCAGAGAGCAGGAGTTGCTATTTAAGTATCTAAACATTGGACTTAAAAAAACCCTGGTGTGTTTTGGCTAGGCAGAAACAGGACTGGGCTCCTCTGAAACACACCCATTGGATTAGGGTTTTGTCCTTGGCACTTAGTTTTGCTCTGTTTCTCTAGAGAAATGGTCAACCCTACTCTAGCAAACCAACAGTTAAATTCAGAATTGCAAATAAGTAGGCATTTATACTTTTATTTCTATTAATATACTCCTGGTTATGGCACTCTACTTGGTGAGGCAGTTTTTCCACCATAGAAAATTTCCTTGGCTAGGTTTAGGCAAGCATAAACATTTGCTTCTCTGGGATCCATTACTTACCAGAGTTTTTCAACTCATCAGCATCCAGCAGGATGAGTAAAGGTCATATTAAATGCTTCACTTTATGGGTTTTGGGGAGGGAAATATATGTATGTGCAGAAGAAGCATGTAGAAGAAATTGGTCCCGTGCAGCAGGGTTTGATTAATTTGAAAAGTATAATTGTCAGAATATTTCAGCTTAACTCTGATTCTCAGCACCCTGAGTAAGTGGTGATTTGTTTGCTTGCTAAATTCTGAGTGTCATACTTCAGATCAAAAGCCTAAAACAGTGAATCCGATTATAGAGAAAGATGGTTTGCTTTGATCTTAGCAACTTTATTACAAAATCTGTTTTTCTTTTCCTTTTCATGTAGCTCTGGTAGACAAGAACTTTTATTCTTCCCTAGTTCAAGCAGGTGAAAATGTCCTTTCAGTTGAAGGAAATACTGACTCCAATGTTACTGCTGAATAGAGCCCAAGATAGTCAGTCTAGGGATGGGCTACTTGGCATGGAAAACTGAGATCCAAGTCCTTCAGCTAACATTGCAGGCAAATCCTTTCTGAGCTAAGTGCCTAGAGTACAGTTAATTCCTTTCTGCTTGGTTTCTTTCATTCCCATTTCATGCTCCTCTTCTCCTGGATGTAATTTGCCCAAGAAAGGAAACGCCTGGGGAAAAACAATTCCTCTGGCAGTGTTTTTAGCTCCAAAAAATCCTGGGGACAGGCTTTCCTGAGGGTGTTTTAATCTGGCAGCTCAGGCTGACATTCCCACCCTCTTATGGTTAGTTCTTGGCCTTCCTCCTCACTGTCTCCAACCAGCATCATGCCATGTTTCCCATGTGGTGTCCAAGACCTTCCTTGAGCAGGGAGCACTACATAATATCTCATGCTTAGGCTTCTTTGGTAGCCTAAAAAAAAGGCTACCAAAGAAGGGTTCTGGGACCAGCTGAAAATCATGAAATTCACATAAGCAAGGACTATCAGGTCTTTCTGTCCTCCCCTTTTGCTTCTGGAGCCTGTAAGGTTGCTGTTGTCCAGATAAGACCAACCCCTTTGCTCTTTAATGATAGTTGAAACTCTCATGTTGTAATGTAAATAAAGCAAGGCTTTGAGGAGGAACATTAAATAGAGGGAGACTCACAGGGAAATCCCAAGAGCCGTCAGCACCACATCTTCTGGCAGTCTCTGTGAGTCACTCAGATTCCATCATCAGGGCACTGAGATCCTTGGTATTCTGTCAACCTCCCTGTTGCAAAAGCCAGTAATAGAAAATGTAGGGAGAGGCTCATTTCATAGTTCTCTTCATGCAGGTGTGTGAGATTTCCAATGGCACTGAACTGGGACTCCTTGGCACCTCCATTACTTGTTAAAATGTAAATTAGATTCCTGAACCTTTTCTGATTTTTATATAAGTTTTAAGACAAGTGCCTTGGCTCCCACTGGGCAGTTGAAACTGTGCACTTACTACTTGCCCACAGACTTCACAGCAGCTCACGAGGGGAGGTTGTGGAAATTCTCCTTTTTGGTATTATTCTTTATTAAAATAAGCAGAGTTTTTGGCAGTATGTGCTATTTTCTTTTATAAGCTTAAGAAGGTGTTAGACAGTCATAAGAGACTGCCACATAGCCAAATTAGTGTCAGCTTTGAATTAACAAAAAATTGATGCCTTGAAATACTAAAATACCTTAGGAAATGCTGTTGATTTTGCACCAGTTCACTTAGTCACTACCAAACTGCAGTTGGCTGAAATAGAAATTATTCCATTTTTGTTAACTCTGTTCTTTCAGTGAATGTTTGCAATTGCACTGATCTTGCACCTCCAAGGTTTTGTGGACTGGGTATCTCTGTGGCTGCTTTTGGTACTGATGCTCCCAAATGTAAAGCAAGCAAGAGATGCAGGACGTAGCGAGTGGGGCTTTTCTAACCACAAGGAATCCATACAACCCCAGGGTATCTGTGGTACTTGAGGATTATCAGAACCTCACAGACTGTGAAGAAAGAAAAGCCTGTGAGGTGGTGTCTGTTTTCAGCTTATGATATCTGTTTTTGGACAAAGATGTCCAATTTCGATCTCTGATGTACACCAATTAAAACTCAAAGTAGTTTTCCTGCTGTCAGTGACACCCCAGCATGTCAGAGAAAGCAAGCTACATTTTTTAATTTCTGCAAGAAAGAATTTTTAAAGTATTTACTTGGAAATTTCGTCAACAAAAGGTTTCTCCCTTAGAAATTAACCTTTTTTGAACAGTCAGTCAACCAGAAAGAGGATAGGTTTTGAGCTTCTCATTATTAAGGTGTTTCTCCCCAACCTGATAGCTGACAGCACCACAGAACAAAAGCAAGGGTAAAGAAACTAGAAAGCAAGAAAATGTTTTCTCAGAAACCAAGACTGTCAACTCCAGTACTTTGCATGTTGCTTATCTTCATACTCAGTATCCAGTTGAATAGCAGATTCCTCTGAATTGTAAAGAACTTATCTTCTCAGTTTCACAATCTACTCGGGAAAACTGCCATGTAAGCACAGGGAAATCTGACACATCTCTTTAGCATGAAGTGTTAAGCAGCTAAAATAACAACTATGTCCATTAAACCATCTAGGCAAGTAGAAGGTTCACATTTTATAACATTTTAACCAGCTTTTCTTCTTCTATTACATTAAGTTGTCACCACTTCTCATATTGTAAAATCTCTTTATGACCCACTTTCTTTTAAAGATTTTGATGGAGTCAACTGAAAATCGTGGAGATGTTGCTAAGGAGGATGGATTTTAATTCTAGAAAGTGGATGGATTTTTCATTCCAGAGTCCTGTTGACTTAGTGATGCTCCCTGTGGGCTAAACAGGCTCTTCACACAGAATCTGGATTGATTAATCAGGGCATTTACCTGCTGGGACCTCCTCTAGTGAGAAACATTTTGCAAGATCCACCAATCCCCATGGGACTGAAAATCACATCCTCGGTGGCTGGCAGTTCTGGAAGGCAGTCACTCAGTGGCCACCAGTGGTGACTGCAGGAGACAAGTCATTTTACAAATGTTTCTATAACACATATGTGACATTTTTCCTTGTTCTGGTAATTACCCTTTCATTCTCAAAACAGCTGTCACCATTATCCTTAATGTCAGACCTGTGACTTGGTGCCTAGGCCTCTGGAGGAAAATGTTATCAACAAATCTGTGACATGCTCTCCTCATCATCTTACTGAAGCATTCTGCAAACTCTTCCTGCCCTTTTTTGGACTCATTAACCATAGTAGCAAGCAGCTTAGGCCACACATACCTTGCTGTCTTTTTTTCCCCCCCTCTTTACACAAATAGCTTAAATTACATAGGAATCTTTTGTTCTTGGTAGTCTGTAATTTAGGAAACGTTGGGGATCATTGAATGCACCTCATTCTTTTCCTGGTTTATTCTATCATTGGTCCATTTAATTTTGTAGTAAGTTCATTCCAACTGTTCTTTGTTAGAAAATGCTGTTTTGATTGAGATAAATTAATATACTGATGGGATTTCAGATCTGACCCCCTGCTCTGATCTCAGTATTTCCCCATCCCGATGTAGCCAAATGAGATTGAAATATGGTTCATTGTATTGCATGTTACTTTCCAATTGTGGTTTGCATATGAATGCAAAATAGGTTTTTCTTCTTGGTCTCATAGATTAAAAAAAATCTTTTATCAGACTATACAAATAATTTATTCTTCCTTGATCCATCAAGAATGAACAAATGGGCTGTGCCCAGAGATTTGTTTGGAGAGAATTACTTGATCAATACTTTCAGCCATCAGGAAAAATTTATGTTAAGGTCATTCTGGGATTCACTTTAATCTTTGAGGGTCTGCAGACATCACTCAGGATAGCTTCTCATCATTAACATGTAGCGGTGTGAAAGGAGGAATGGATTGAATAGCCAAGAAACATTTACAACCACTTTTGGATTGCTTCTTTGACATGAGACCCAAATTTTTAACTTGAGCATTCAGAATGAGGCTGCTGAATTCAGGGGTGAGACAAAGGGTAGGCAAAGATGGCCTGTCTTTTGGAGGTCCTGAGGAGCTCAAACTCAACATCAGGAACAGGCACAACCACAGAGTCCTTCCGAGCATGAAACTGGAACTGGGAGCTGAACTCCCCAGAATCCCCAGCTAAAATAAGCCCACATATAGACCAGTGAGAGATAGTCTGGTTTTGCAGAGCTTTTGGTTTGTGTAGAAAAGAGGAAGAGAAGCAGATGTGGAGATGTGAGGGCCCTGCATTGTAAGGCAGATACCCTGATAGATGGAGTCATGATCTCTCTGCTAGTCTTGGCTGTGCTTGTATCCTTGTGGAATTAAAATCTGATAAGAAACTACTGCCTCCATTTAGATCTACCTCAAAGACACAAATGGAGTTTAAAAATAATTTTGATGGATGTATGCTCATGTGGAAGCTTGGACATTCCTGAGCTACCATGGATTTTTGTGTTGGATGTTTTAAGTTCTTGATGCAAAGAGCCTTATTCTGCGCTGCGGGAGAGTGAAGGCAGCAGGATTATAGGTGTCCTCATCTGTCCTCAGTGCATCTGAAACCCTTCAGGGAATATGACAAGCTGCCTGCTACAGCCTTGCGTGCAGAGACAGATTTATATGACTAGCTGTGCATCCTAGTTTTGCACTGGAATTTCACATGGCAGAAAGCAGGGGAACATCATGCGTCAGGCTAAAAACTAATGTTTGCCACATGAACTGGCCTTCATTTGAGTGATGGCAGGGCAGAAAAAGCATGCAGCTGGAGTGTGGTTTTGTAATTGTTGTGTAGAGTTGAGCTACAGGTCAGAGGCATCTGTTGGTCTGTGCACAGAAGAGCTTTGCTGAAATCTGTGGAATACGGTATTTAGTCTATAAGGTCATATAGTCAGGCCACTGATTTTTAGCCCCCAGAATTTCAGCCTAGTCTGCTACTTGAGAGTGAAGATGTGGATTCCATTAGATACCTGGACCTAATCCAAAGCCCATTGAAATAATTTCAGCTTTCTGTATTTTCAATGGAATAAGCCTGTTTTTAAAGTACAGTTATTTGAATTCATAAAAAAGAGTTACTCTGCAATACTTCCGTGATTACCCTTCTCCCTAAAGATTTTGAATAGTGAACATTTTTATGGCACTGTACAATTCATATCTCACTTCATGGTGTCCCCACGGATGGCTGCAGATGCTATTTCTGGTTTACCTTTTTATTTGAACTGGAAATGTTTCAGTGACTTTCCAAATGCTCTGAACTCTTCATTGGCAAAAGCCATTTACAGGCAGCGATGATCAAATGCACATGTTACGGCTGTGCCTGCTGGTTTAATGGATGTGTTTGTCATTTTCCTTTCACCCTCAGCTTTATATCCAGGCCAGACGCCCCGAGAACCTGACCTTGTCCATTGCCAGAGCAGCCTACCCTTCCCATCCTGTGAGGCTGCAGGGCGTGAACAGAGGAGCACCGTACCAGCAGTACCAGCCTGTCGTCATGCTCGAGCAGGATTATGTCATCCAGTGGGATGGCAGAGCACCTGAGGATGTTATCCTGTACCCCATCAACTTCAACAGGTACTGCCCTGTGCTGTTTTCAAAAGGTCTGGAGCTTTATAATGTTCCCAGGTTATTCACAAGTGACCTTTCAAAGGTCTCAGCAAGTTCTGAGAGTGTGGAAGCAAGGTGTTAAAGGTTGGCACTTACTGATGCAGGGAGATGCTTCTGCTTTCACTTTATTCCAGCTTTTTTTGATGTGCAGAGATGTTTCTCTTTCCAGAAAGTTTTGAAATAGAATCCAAATAAGTCCTGGCTTGCTGTCCCTGAAATCCCTCCAGAAGAGCTCTGGCTCTGGTTCATTTGTTTGTACTGGTTGCTGCACACATAATTTATCTCCCATATATATAAAGTGCAGAAATATATCAGAATGTACTTAAAACTTTACATCTTCTGTAATCCAAACAGCTTTGGAATCACTGTTTCTTTTTAACTAAAGTTTTAAAATGTTAGGTTTCAGCACAGCAAAATTACAGGCTGTGCTGTGTTTATTTCCCATGTTTTCTTCTAGCATTATATAAAGACAGGGTATATCCATTTTAGACGCTACTTTTGTCCCTTGCAATCTGTTTCACTTTGCATAACTTAAGTTATGGTTTTTAGTACTGTTCTTACTTCAGTGAAATTACTTGTGCTTTGCACTAGTACCACTGTTAGGACAGAGTCCTGCAACCCAGTCAGCTTAGCAGGGATGTGCATTGCCATGGTCTGCACAGAGGAGATGCTGCAAGGGATGAGCACCACAAGAAAGCCTGGCCATCACCTTGGGTTCTGCAGTTTGTGTGAGTCCTTGGTTATTGGCAAAAACACACTACAGTAAAAGAGAGAGGTTTGTAAATGAAACCTTACATGATTACACACAACAGAGGCTCGGGTTTCAAAAGCAGGTTTTAGATAGTTGGAATGAAAGAAGGCAGAGGCACTGAGGGCGTGAAGCAGCACGTACTGCTGGTGAACCTGGAAGGTTCCCAAGTCCCTCCAGTATTATCCACCAAACCCCACACCCATCCGCTGCTCCTCCAGCAGAGTCTCCCTGCTGTGGTTTTAGCGTAGGATAGTTTTGGCAAAAGCTTGAGTTCTATTTGGTTCCTCTGAATCTTGGAGCTGACAAAATCTGGGGGAAAAATACTATCCTTAGTTCCCACTACGAAGCCCTGTGGGAATGCTCCTGAGAAGGGCAATGTTTCCTCTTTATACATGCCCATTCCAGCAAGTGACATCCAGCTGGTCCTCTTGATTTAAAGATGTAGTAATTGCAGGGCCATGACTGAGTCTCTAGATGATTGGTGTTTGGGCACTCCTGTCACAGGGGAATTATTAGAATTAAATCAGTGTTTTCTGTATTAATATATCTCTGTGCACTTTAAGGAAGAGGAAAACCCATTAGTCACTCACGGACAAGCTGAGCTTTGCAATTATTATCTGTCTTAAAATGGTGAGCTATTTCCTTGCAATTACAGAGCTAAATCTTCTGACAAGTAACTGGTTACTCTGTCACTGTGCCAATCCATACTTGCCAAAGCTTTGGCCCAGAGTCTTCAGACACAGATTTAAATTTGAAGGCAGCACTGAGTCTCTGGTCGATCTCAGCTTGAATTTTAGCTCTTATTTAAGCAGCAACTTTAACTACATTTTGCTATTGAAAACCACAATGTGGTTGTGGTTCCCTTTGTCTTGTTTGAAACCAGTTATTTGAACTGGGCAAAGGTTTGTAGAGTTTTCTGATCCAGAAACAGTTGGCAAGATATCTGTTTTGAAGAATTATAAACAAGAAGTATACTGTAACAAAGGAAAACCACAGTTTTACTTCATTTCATTTAGAGCATCTTGCTAAGAAATAATTGGGAACGAATTGTGTGGCTGCTCTGTCTACACCTCAACTATGCTGGATGCTCACTAATGTGAGACTTCAGGCTGATGCAACAGTGAAATGTCCACACTGCATGGAAAAACATCGAGAAAATAGATTCTTGTGGAAGGGTAAAGGAATTAAGGCAAAAAAGAGGCTTTAGGAGTTTGAAGGAAAACAAGGGTCTGCCTAAGCAGTTCCACATATGATTTTTACTAAGCATTGTATTTTAATAATTTCTGGAGTAGAAGAAATCTTGGATTGTGGAACCCAGAGTAATCAGACATAAAAAACCAGGGAAATTATTTTACCTGTCCCAAGTGGCTTTATGTTTTGTTTGTTCTCTTAAAATTCATAATACTGAATAATATCCCAAAAATGAACTCTTAATATCATAACATATGTGCCAAGTATGATGCAAAACAAATCATGTTTGATGAACTTTAATAGCAATATTCTAGGATTAATAATTTCAGACAAAACCTGAGTGAACAGTTAAACTGTTGGAAGGCTGTATCTGGGATGCTGCCTTTGCAGCTAGGCAGCCCTCGTGCTTCTGGAGTGATTTGCTCTGTGCTGGCTAAAGGAAGGTCAGAGGGGAAATAAGGAATTTGACAGGGAGATGTGTACCAGGATTGGGATTTCTGTGCAGGTCAGGCACAGCACTGATGTTGAATACTTGCATGATTAACACTTTCCCTGCCCCTGAGCCATTGTAGAAAGACTCAATAGAAGTCATGCCAGTCTGTTGGAAGACTGGAACGCCCAGATTCCTGGGGTGGGCAGGAGCTGGTCGGGATGAATTCACATGACTCAGCTGAAATTGGCAGCTGTGAGCTGCAAATCTTGTCCAGTGAGTTCAGAGGCACCGCTCGGGTGGATTTGCTCAGCAGAGGAGGACACCACCTAGAGCAGTCACCCAGCAGATCTTTTTCTTGTGCTTTCTAACCTCTTTCTTTCTATCTTGCTGCAGTACTTGTGTCTTCCTTGCACTGATTCAAACCATGTTTAGAGTAATCCTTCAATTTCTTCGCTTCCATCAAAATATGTGGCTAAACCAACAGAATTGCTGTGTCCCCACTCGCTGCCCTGTGGCGCAAAGGGGCTTTTTGATGCCTGCTGGTGTTGCTCCCAGGGAGGGATGGACTGGTTTGCATTTGTCAGGGTAGCTGTATCTCTCCTTGGTTTGATGGGTAAACATAAAGCCACGGTGGAGACCCACAGGCTCTGTTTTCAGGCTGCTGGGGAACATTGCTGGCTCAGCAGAAATGCCTGTTTATGCTATGGACCGGGTTGTCTGACTAATGGCTGGGAGTCTCCCTGTGAGGATGAGAACATGGATGGGTATTGATGCTTCTGGAAAGAGGCAGTGCAAGACAAGTAACTTCTAAACGTTTTGGCTAGTGAACAGAGGGAGAGCACAGGCTGGAATTTTAATGACTAGGAATGAAGTGTGCTCCAGAATCAGCCCAGATTTGTTGAGGGTGTTTTTCAGGGCAGAAAGTGTGTGCAAAACCTTCATGAACCCTCAGACCCCTTCTCCATGGGTTTTGTTTCTTTGTTGGAGTGGTTTTCACCTTCTCTACCCCCTCAGAGCTGTTTGTATTTTTCCATTTGTTGTTTTTGGTTTTTTGGGTTTTTTTTACTGCTTCACAGAAGTATGAGAGTTATCTGTAAGACTGAGTTAAGGGCTTTCCTCAAAATTATTATCCCAAAGAACAAAGGTCCACAGAGAACATTAAGCTTGTTACAAGACAGAGGAGAGGCTGGGAAGTCAAGAGAAGAGGATGGAAAACATAATTTGGTTGCGAGTAAGTGCCTTCTTTCAGGAGCTGGAGAACAGTACAAAGACTGTCACTTCATACATTAATCAAAGTCAGAAATGAAGTCCTTCAATTTAATGACTCGGGCTTTGTGCCTGTGCAAATTTTCTAATCACAGAAGAAGCGAAGGTAAATACTATTATCAAAGGCACAGGGCTGTTCCATAAGTCAGCCAGGCTTCTTTGTGCTATCAGCACATCTAAAGATAAGAATGAAATCTCCTCAAAGCACATATCTGAAGTATAGTGTAATATGTTGTGTTGTTGGAGTGGCCAGAAAGCAGTGGCAGATTAAGCATTCCTTGCTTTTAATGAGGACAGAGAAATACCTCTATACCTGGTCTGCTAAGGCTCAGAGGGAAGGGTTTTCCCTTGTTAGGGCTCTCTGCCATGGTTTGACAGGGTGAATTCAGGGAAATGTGAGCAGTTAATAGTATAAAGAGGGTGGGTTTTGTAGGTTTTGTAGGACTTTGGATTGCCAAAGTCTTGCAAGAGGGGGCTTTTCTTTGTACTGCATCTCTCCTGCCAGATGCTGGCTCCAAGGACAGTGCTGAGCAGTATTTCCCAGGCTCTCTCCATTGGTACCCTCTGAGCTTTGTCTGGAGAGGCACAGTGAGGCTCATCATATTGGTGTTCTTTGGTGCCTTGATGCAGGAGTTCGATCTTTATGAGAGTCTTAAAAAAAAAATAAATTAAAAAATAAAAAAGGCAGGGAAGGCCCAAATTTCTTTTCAACAACAAGCAAAAGGGCAGATGCCCATGTGTGTGCCCAGGCATGTGTTCAGCCTTTCCCCTGCTGCGGTGTTTGTGCAGGGATGGGCATGGATTCACTGCTCAACTCCTGTATTTGCTAGGCTGAAGACCTGTGCTTGGGCTTGTTATCTTATTCACCAGTGAATAATCTTAATTGTCTGAAAATTCAAGAGCCCAGAATGAGCTTGGGCCTAAATTTTTCATTAAAAATACTGTACCCTTTCGACCTTGAGTGGTACAAAGCCTCCAGGATGCTGCAATCTGTCCAAAGGTGGAGATTTCAGTGCAAGGAAACTTACACAGCCCAAGTCTGCACTGAGGCTCTGGGGGACTCATTATGTTTGTATTTGCCAAGGTTGTGTAGGTAGGTTTTTTTCCTATGGCTTATTATTCAATGCCAGTCTGATTCATACTTTCAGCTACTTGTCATTTTTGTGATTAAATTCCTTAGTGGTGATAAGGTCTGGAGAAAAACAAAGATAACAAGACAAGGCTAGAATGTGCTCGTGGCAGTCTTGCCCAGTTTAGGGATATTTCCTAAATTGTTTCTTTTTCAGATTAACTTGAAATGAGCTTTTCCTCTTGCTTCCCAGATTG